CATTCCCTTCTTTATCTATCATTCACTTATATACTCGTTCACTTGATCTGTTCATTTGGTCATCTACATATTATCTTTTCATTAAACGTTCAAATTCATTATCCAGAAAAACTCAACGTAGCCAACTTACCCTCAATAAAAGGCCAGCTAATAATCCACGGTGGCCACAATATCGCTGAGATAATGTAGGCGCATGCAATCATTATCAGTGCCTTCCTCTTCGTTCTTCTATAAAAAACGAACTGAACTGCTCGTTACAGTAACCCACAACCAATGACGTATGTCCACTGCGTGTACGCACATACCTTGGCCGATACGTAAGCGGTCGCGTAACGGAAAAATATCGATCAAATGAGATCAACAACAGATTGAGCACGGACGCATTGCACATGAGGTAGTCGATGCACAGCCAAAATTGGCACATTGTATAACCAATGCCCCACGACTGCTTCACTGTGTAGTAGGTCCATAAAGGTATTGAAATCATACCTTAAAAAGACAAATTTAGGAATTTTTGGATTAAAATAAGTAAAAAAAGGAGAACTCCTAAATACCTATTGCAATATCAGCCACAGCAAGACTGAATAGGAAATAATTACTGATTGTCTGCAGTTGTTTATCTATTTTGAAGCTGACCATCACCTAAAATGTATGAAAAGAGTTTTTGATACAAACAGTTCGTTTCAATAGTTAGTCAAAGTATGTTGCTCTCAGATTTAGCAAATAATATGAAAATTTGTATTTACGCTATATGAAACATTCTTTCGTTCTATTATCTTTTTCTTCAAGCAGTACCTAACATAAAACTTTTTCTTAGTTATATATTTTCCAGAGAACCCTCAACTATTCAAAAACAAACAAAAGAAAGAAGGGGAAAAAAGTAGGACTTAAAATTGCAGCATTCATTGCGAATTCCATGTAATTCGTCTCAATTACGTCAAAGAAAAAAAAACATGTAGTGTAAGCTTCAATGCGCTTCAAGGAGTTTTTATGTCTTCTGTGAGGTCATGGTACGTCACATACGTCTTTTACGTCATTTATCGTCATCCTAGGGATATCTACTACACAAAGAAAAAATCCCGTACGTTAGTTTAAGATGTATATGGTGCATTGCACGCTA